TTTCTGTACTTAAACAAAAACGCTTGTTCATTATTAAAATATTTTTTCACGGTCGACCTTCTCATATCAAATCCTCCTAAATTAAAAAAAAAAAACATATTATAAATCGTAATATATGTAATTAACGAGCGGTTGACATACTTTATGGCAATGTATAATACTCTAATCAGTTCATGTATTGGATAGAAAACAGGAAAAAACGTTAACTTCGGTGGCACCGAAGATAAACACCCTTCACAGGTGCATTTCTGTTAGTAACTATGTGTTCAGTTTGTATGGCAGCTATATGCTATAGTAATCCGATCTGAACAATTTCTTCTGAGCTAACATTGTTGCCTTAAAGCATAATATATACCAAACTTCGTGAATATATCTTGTCAAATGTGAAAGTTTTCCATACAAGAACTTGATGCTGATTGTTCAGTTTGTATGGCAGCTACATGTTATAGTGATGCGATATCGGCAGATCCGACAAATGAGCAGCTTCTTGAAGAGAAAATGACGTTTGCAAAATTTCAAAAGGTTATCTTAAAAACTGAAGGATTAGTTCGTATATATACAGATAGACAGATAGACAGACAGACAGACGGACATGGCTAAATCGACTCAGCTCAACATACTGATCATTTATATGTATACATTTTAGGGTCTCGGACCCTTCCTTCTGGGTGTTACAAACTTCGTGACAAACTTAATATACATACATATGTAGTGACTTCATTGTCATAATGAGTGTGCAGCAACGCCAGGCCTATCAATCTATCTGGAAGCATGTTCGTCCTCAGCCACGTTTTCATGCAGCGAAATGTCGAAAAGGAACCTGCAATCAATAAGATTTTCCATTTCTTTAGTTCTCAATACATACTTTTTCTTGAAGCAGCAAAGCAATGTACACTGAGATCCTTTAGTACAAATTTTTCGCAAGTTCTCACGCAGAAATTTTAGCGTTTTGTTTGYCGGTCGCAGATTCTGGGTTTTTCTTCGTCAACTTCAGTACTGCCGCCATTTTCATCTGAATAAATGGATCGATGTGTTCCTCAACTTTTTGTCTTGAATTTCGAAACGTTACAAGCTTCATATCTATTATATTTGATGAATTTCGAAATTGATCGATTCTTTTTGAAGAATTACATTGAGTGARTGAGTTAGAGATAGGATATCACATAGGCAAAAATAACTAATTATAAATTCAAGTTGCACACGGCTGCGACGAGTATCGTTCCTTTTCTTCTTACGTTATATTTTTTCAGAGGTGATAAATGTCTGCCATTCCCTATAAATCCGCCACTGATAAAACGATGCATGATTTTCTTCGGAGCTCTTCTACATAAACTTGACTTTTCTACATATATTTTAGGCATTCCATCTCACCACGATCCGACTTTCGAAAATCTCCTTGTGTACAGTTTTTAGATACTTAAAATTTATATTTTACTG